GGAGAAGAGGATCCAGTGCAGGCTGCAGGCGACCACGACCACTTCCTTCTGGGGCAACACCTGCTGATCCAAAGGCGGCCTTAGTGTCCAAGGGCTGCTCTGTCCTGCCCACTCTCCTCTGAGGGCACACGAATGCTGAAGGGGACTTAGTGCTGGAAATAAAGTTGCCAGTTTTCACAGCTAACCATGCTTGCGTCCAGTTCAGTCTCCTGGGCAACGCAAGGACTTCCATGCCTGGCACCTGCTGGTTGGTTTGCTTGTTGACTGAGCCATGCACCTCATCACAACCATCTGTTCTATTTTTTTTTTGGGAGCCATCACAAATCCTTTTCAGTGTGGCCCCACTCTGTAGCTGGTGCAAGGCTGAGTCCAGAGGTCTGGCTGTTGCAATGGCAGAAGGGCACACAGGTTCTAGGGACTCGGCAGCTGGAAACACCCAGTGCCTGGGCCAGCTACTGGTGGGAGCGCTGTGCGCATGTTCAGTGCATGAGTGAACTTGAGGCTGGACTGGCTCACGAGCAAGAGGAGAGAGACCCTTTCAGTCATGCGGACGGCATGTGGTTGCAGCCCACCTGATCGCTCAGCCCCACAGACCTTACAAGAGGAGCAGGCCTACCGGCCACATCTCCACCTGCCTCAGCTTGAACGTCCAACACAGAGCACAGGATTTACTGCCCAGCACGCCTCACAGGCTCGGTCATCTCCCCATGCCACAGGTTGCTACCCCAGCACTCCATTAGTCAGAGGTGTCACTGAGCCACAGCTGCAGGGCAGCTCTAAGGTTGAACTGGGTTAGTTGAGGGCAGGGATGTGGGTGGCCTGGTGGATTTGGGATAGGGTTCCGGTGTGGAGCAACTGAAGGGGATGGAGCAGCAAGAGGTTAGGAGCAGTGACAGCAGGAAGGCTTAGGAGCGCGGTTTGGTATGCAGCAGGGGCACGTATATTGCAGCATAATGAGGAATTTTGAGAGAGTCTGAGATTTTGTGAGGGGTTTTGGGGCTTCCTGAGAGGCTTTAGGGATGTTCTGCAGGGTTTTGGGGGATGCCTGAGAGGCTTTGGGAGTCTGTGAACATCTAGTGCAGCATAATGAGGAGTTATGAGTGGTTTTGGGGGCTCCCTTAAGGGTTTGGGGGGTCTCTGAATGTCTATTGCAGCATCATGAGGAGCTCTGAAGAAGTCTGAAAGTCTGTGAGGAGATCTGGGGGCTCTCTGAAGGGTTTTGAGGGTCTATGAACATCTACTGCAGCATAATGAGGAATTATGAGCGGTTTTGGGGGTTGCCTGAAGGGTTTTGGGGGTCTGTGAATGTCTATTGCAGCATCATGATGAGTTTTGAGGGAATTTGAGAGTCTATGAAGGGTTTCGGGGGGATCCCTGATGGTTTTTGTGGGTATCTGAACATCTTGTAATGTTCACAGACCCACATCTACTATCCTTTATTGCTCTTCCATGTGGGTGGTGATGAAACTGAAACACGGAGTCCACGGTCAATCGAGAGAGATTTCAGGACCCTGGGACAGCTGGTAAGAGGATCTGGGGCACAGGTAATTTTTTCGTCCATCTTTCCAGTTGTGAGCAGTGACACTGGAAGAAGCAAATGCATCCAGTCGATTAATATGTGGCTCCGTGGCTGGTGTCATCGCCACAATTTTGTCTTTTTCGATAATGGGATGGGCCACATGGCACCAGGCCTACTGGCACCGATGGGACTTGCCTTTCTTAGAGGGGAACGAGGGTCTTAGCACAACAGCTAGCAGGGCTCATTGACAGGGCTTTAATCTAGATTCCAAGGGGGAGGGGGGTAATATCGAGAATGATAAAGATATGCTGGAAGTAACTGAAGAACAGAAGAAAGGAATTCCAGCCGCTCCAGCCAGGAAGTCAGATTCATCTGGGGTCCAACTTAAATGCCTTTATGCCAATGTGCGCAGCATGGGGAATAAGCAAGAGGAGTTAGAGGTGTGTGCGCGTCTGTTGGAATATGATCTTACTGGCATCATGGAGATATGGTGGGATGAATCCTATGACTGGAGTGTCAGAATAGAAGGATACAGGATCTTTAGGAAGGACAGGCAGGGGAGAAGACGAGGAGGGGTTGCTCTCTATGTCAAAGACCAGCTGGAGTGCACGGAGCTGCACCTGGGGACGGATGAGGTCCAAACTGAGGGGTTAGGATTAAAGGGAGAGCAGGGACAGGGGACATAGTAGTGGGGGTCTGTTAAGACCACCTGACCAGGAGGACCGGTAAATATAGCCCCCATTTTTAAAAAGGGAAAAAAAAGACTCAGGGAACTACAGGCCAGTCAATCTCACCTCTGTGCCCGGCAAGATCATGGAGCAGATCCTCCTGGCGAATATGCTAAGGCACATAGAAAATAAGGAGGTGACACTAAGGGCAAATCCTGCCCGACTAATTTGATGACCTTCTACGATGAGGTTACAGCATTGATGGATAGGGGAAGAGCAACTGACATCGTCTACCTGGACTTATCCAAAGCATCTGATAGTGTCCCACACGACATCCTTGTCTCTAAATTGGAGAGACATGGTTTTGATGGATGAACCACTTGGTGGATAAGGAATTAGCTGGATGGTCACACTCAAAAGAGTTGTGGTCAACGGGTCAATGTCCAAGTGGCG